ACAATAAGGTAGGTTTACTATTTTCAAGGTATTATTTCGTTACTTTTTAGTGTACTGTTTTTTTGAGAATATTTTGTTTTTGGTGTATTTTTTTAAATTAGTTGTTCGTCACATTGTACATTATTGAATTATGGGTTAAAGAACGGATATATGCATGGATCGACTGTTATGTTTATTTGCTTTTTAACGTTTATATAGGTAACAACAAACCTATACTTTGTATTTTATGCTATTAAATATTTTTGTTTGTAAACGTGAAGATGTAACTATTCTCCTGTGACGTCGTTGTATTTAAGTCATGTGTTCTGATCACGAGTTTTAAAAAAAAATTATAAACATGGTCTATGGTATTTAGTGATAACGTTGCTTTATGAAAGCAAAATAATTTTTAAAATCGGTCTAGAAGTTTTAAAGTATATTTGTTTCATACATAAATATAAATCTTTACTTTTTATGATATTAGTCTATACTAGACGCTCTAATTAATTAATATTAGACGCTCCATTTACAGTGTGTTCAGTGCAGCATTGACAAACGTTTGCGACAGACTGAACAATGTTTTTAACTTACGCCATTCTTATTTACATACCGGCTGAGACCTGTTTTTTGCTACATGCACATATTGGAGCAAATCCGCCAACTAATTCTAATGTTTGCCAAACATTTTAATTCATAAAGCATTGAAAATAACCTAATTTTACACTTGCATCTTCCATGATGCAATTACGATGCATCTTAAAGTAATTAAAAATTAAAAATTGTTTTAATAAATTCAAATTCAGACAGAACTATACAAATAGTAATCCATCCAGTAATTCAGTTTTAATAACATTGAGGTTATTTTTTTAAATTGTACGTATTTCAAATAGAGTTTAGATTTGGTATTTGGCACAGTTTGGTCAAACAGTCGGCATATGAATTCCCGCGCCAACTAACCAATAGTAGGGCAGTACCGCGCGAACACTCCGCGCAGGCGCGCGCGTTCCAAATTCAAATGTGCGTAGCTTTTTTACACCGAAAGTGACATAGATAAATTGGTGTTTTTTTTTTCTTATTTTTTGTGTTCTTTTTTAAATTTATATTTAAAGGCGATTGATTCCTACGGGCAAAGGTTTGTTTTTTGTAAGGTTAAGTAATATATTGTGCAAATAACTTCAATGTTACTTAGTTTGTTTTGTATGCAACAAATGAATTAATAACCTTCTAAGTTATAGCAATAACTACTTATTAGAACCTTGTGTATAACTAAAAAATGTTTGTCTTTGAAAATATTGGAACATAAAAATCTATCTACTATTTCGTATAATTTACGTTTGCCTTTTTGCGATACATTTAAGCGAATGAATGAATAAACCTTAAGTGGAACGTTCGTAGAACCTTGTGTATAATTATCTATTGCGTACGTTTTAGTACAGTAAATACTAAAAGGTATTTGAATTGCACAACAACAGTTATTTTTCATTAACAATTTTGTATTATTTATCCACATAACTAATTGCAGTAAATGTTGCTATTATGAAACTCTCTTTCGAGTATAATTCCCTTACAAAAGACATAAACGCATTGACTTAAATGTTTGACTAAAGATACTGACCGAAGATACACGGTGAAACGTTACAACTACATTAGTTCCTTGTAACACTATGTACTGAAGAATGTTCGCCGTGTAACATTACAAAGCGTAACTTAGGTAAGTATACATCTTTAGAGCGAGTACACATTTTACTAAACTTTAACACACTGTTGTGCGATTGTCGATTGTTTCGCGACCTCTTCAACTGTTTAGTCGCACATTTAAAAATCGAGTGTGCGATAGCATATTTTTTTTTTTTTTTTTTTTTT